GATCAAGCTGGTGAAGATGACACCGGTTTCATTCCTCTAAGTGTCCAACTTTTGGAGCTATAGGCATTATAAAATTAAGAGTCGCTACGAAAAAATGTGTATCGGCCCGAAGGACAGCGTCACCTGAATTCACAAATCATGGAGAATGATATTCGGTATTATTTGCATGTCTATGACAGCGCACTGCGTATTTATAGCCAAAAGAAATCTCAATATCAAACCGCAAACTATCTTTACTGCGGTAAAAAACAAAAAACTGGGCTACCGGGATGCAACGTCCCAAATTATCTCTAAGATACGAGTTTAAATTCACATAGGCTATTCAAGTTGTGTGGTCAATTTTTAACCCGGTAAGTTACCCTGAGGGATCTATAGCCTACATGCGGTTTAATAATAAAGTTGACAACATAGCTGGAGAAATACGCCATTTCATTCAAAGTGCAGAGATTTTTTGTTTAAAAACAAGACACTTACTTGTTCAAACGCGGCAGAACTCATGTTTTTTCAGGAAAATAGTTTGTTTCGCTACTAAACAGAAGCGTGCACGCCTGACGTTCCGACCAGTCAATGCAGGCGCTGTATTTTTAGGCAGTTTGGGTGAAATAGTCCAATTGTAAAAGTTCTTGATGGGCCGTTCAGAGTTTGACGGAGTGAATCTCGCGGCGTTCTCTCATCTCTCTCACCTGAGGGCAGTGAATGACGCTGTAGTTTCAGTGGGCATGACAAGGTAAGACTAGGCTACTTCCGTCACCAAACACAGGCGTTTACAAACAGAGTGTCACAAGAGTCCAGCAGTAGTTTTTTTTTATGTTGGTTTCAGTCACCTTGTTCAGAATTGTTCGGAATTCTCTTAACTACAAAGTAATAGTTTGATATTGCAGCTAGTTAAACAGGGGAACAAATGCATTCCCGTGTAATACATACCTGAAACGGCAAGAGGTGTAATAAATACCTGAATGGTTGAACTGTGCTCTCAGGACAAGGGATCATAGAAATATCGAGCCGGTGCTAGTTGCCATTGTTTTTTTTTGTTTGGTTTGTTTTTTTGGAAAGTTGTCAGATGTGTTTACATGTTAAAAATGTATGCAATTATTTATTTATTTATTTATTTAAATTATATATAATTTAAATAAATAAATAGACAGACTCTTATTACAAATTACAATCAAAAGTTAGTCTCGTTAGCTTTCTACATTATACAGCCATGAAATCCGTGTATTAATTATTTTTTGTTAAGCGTGGTGTAAACATTTATCTTGATCTCCCTCTAGCGGCTCAATACTGAAACTACACCATATGAACATAAGGTGGCTGTAAAATTAATGTATTGTGGGACAACAGCGGCTGTAAAATCTATGAAAATAATAAGCAGCACCGATATGAAAAGTATATACTTAAGTATGTATTTCTTTACAGACTTTGTTTAACCTCTTTCCTCACCAGCGCTCACAGTGACTGGCAATGGATGTCCAGCAGGGGGCGCCGTTCTTCAGCAAATGGACGCCCAGCTTCTGCGCAGCCCGAGCGGAGGAGGGTTTGGTTTTACTGATCGGAGCCGCAGCCGATTGTCAGTTCATACTGAGATCTGCGGACACAGGAGATATCTCCGATCAGACCAGCTCGTATCCCGTAGCAGACCCGCTCATTCCCGTTGGTTTTTCTTTTGGAGATAATACAGTAGTTAAAAATAGACGTCCAAAGAAATAATCAAAGTTAAATACTAAGAAGAGAAGGAGGAAGAATGGGGCAGAAAACGCCATTAATATTGATGACTTTATTGTCTTATTGCGTCTGGAGAGATGAGGTAGGATCCGAACGCGGATGACACAATTATTGTGCTTATTATTTTTATGCACTTGTTTCAGATTAACCTTAGTCACCCTGTTTTTTCCCCCAGGCTGCGTTCTATTTAGATTTTTTTTTTTTTGCAGCCAATTAGAAAAAAAAACAACAAAAAAAAACTGATACATACAAATAACACAATTCTGGGGTCAGATCTAATGCTTATGAGATGTATGATTGTTTGTCTATGTATATTTGTGCGTTTGTGTGTGTACATGTGTGTGTGTGTGTGTGTGTGTGTGTGTGACTGAGAGAAAGAACCAATTGGGACCTTGGCCTGATAAGTGGAAAGATAAATTAGCTGAAGGTATGTTATTTCGTAGGGTGGGGCACAGCTTTTTCATTACAGAATGGATGTTTCTTAGTATAACAATTTGTATCACTGAGTAATCTTGTTAGATTTTTAGTATGTAATACATACTTGCATTGAGGAGGAAATTGCTGTCTTTCATTGACAGTGGACTGCAGATGTCCGATATGCAACTTAATGAGTTGCCGTGCATCTTAGATTGTAAAAGAATCTGTTTGATTTTACATTTGTACTTTCGGACTGGCTTTTTGTCTGAGAAAATTCAATGTATGTGTAAAATGTGAGTTTTGAGTAGTCTTTCAGAAGACAGATTGTTACAGCAGACACGTTCTCAGCCCTGATGCAGGAGGGTTGTTGATTCAGTGCTATTAGATATGCTGCAGCCTCTGCGGCCTGCAGTGCTGACGAAGCCTGCTGTACCTCCAATATATTTTTTTTAACAATTATAACATCATGTGTTTTGAGCTAACAATGATATAAATATAAATATAAATAAATACATTATATATGTGAGTTTGTGTGTGTATAAACAAGATTAATAAATGCTGTAAAAATATTAATAATTAATTCAGTACATTCACTATATATGTTAAGACAACCGTAGTGTAAAGTTTACCTTAAAAAATATAAAATTGGTAAGAATATGCAGTCTTCTGTTAATTGTTAATTCAGTCATTAAAAAACAAAACATCAGCACAAACACCATAGGCTCCAAAAATGCAAAACAATTTAATAATGGACTTAGCTTTTTCATTACAGAATGGATGTTTCTTAGTATAACAATTTGTATCACTGAGTAATCTTGTTAGATTTTTAGTATGTAATACATACTTGCATTGAGGAGGAAATTGCTGTCTTTCATTGACAGTGGACTGCAGATGTCCGATATGCAACTTAATGAGTTGCCGTGCATCTTAGATTGTAAAAGAATCTGTTTGATTTTACATTTGTACTTTCGGACTGGCTTTTTGTCTGAGAAAATTCAATGTATGTGTAAAATGTGAGTTTTGAGTAGTCTTTCAGAAGACAGATTGTTACAGCAGACACGTTCTCAGCCCTGATGCAGGAGGGTTGTTGATTCAGTACTATTAGATATGCTGCAGCCTCTGCGGCCTGCAGTGCTGACGAAGCCTGCTGTACCTCCAAGGCCCGAGATGGAAAAATAATGTTACTCAGACATTTTATGCCTGACATCCCACGCTTATTTGTTTTTCTGGGTTTTTTGCATAATGATAGAGAACTGTTATTGGATGTTGAAGCCTTTTTGAATTTAGAAAGGGTTGGAAATCCTTTCTGAAAAAAAATAAATAAATAATGGGGCAGATTGGTATATTATATAAAGACTTTATATAATTTAATGCTAGATTTGGCCACATGCAGATGTTGGGGAAATAAAGTGTTGCGCAGGAAGAGGATTGTGTCTGCCTGACAGGATATAAACGCTGTCAATCCCTTTCAATTCTTGTGAACAAATCAGGGTGCGATCAAGAGAACACATATCTGTCAATCCAGGGATTTTTATTGACACTATTTTGGGGGTTAAAAAATGTTTTAGACTGCGACATCGGTATCGATTTAGAAAATTCCAACGTGAACTATTTTTAGCATTTGTCTTCAGCAGGAAACAAACAGTTGCTTTATAGAAAGGTAACGTTAATGCAATTAACACAAAATAATCTACATGGTCTACAAAAACCGTCTACACAAACCAATATATTTTAAACATTTTTATATGATTATAGGCCTATATATTTATATATTATTTATTATTTATGTTGTATTATTTTTCATTGTTTTATGTTATTTACATACAATTCTTAAAAAATACTATATATATATAT